GGGATTGATCAAAACTAACTGCTAATCTTTTTCTTCCTTTCCAGATTGCTTATAATTTTTCCCTAATGGAAATCACTTATCTGATAAACTTATCTTATGCACTGCGGAGAAGTGCATATTATACACACCAAGAGAAGCAGCATCTTTTAAAAATAAACCTGTTACAAGCCAACATGGTTTTGGCAATTTACTGTAATTGCAGTTTGATTTTCAGATTTTCAGATCTTTCAGTGAAAGATCTCAAACTGATCATCTTATGACTGAATGAAACAGTAATTGTTAAAATATACTTGGTTGAATACGGATGATCTGTGGGTCATAATCTTTTTTTTCCCCTGAAAAATTACTTTTCATTTTTTAAAATGAAACCCATACACTTTCTAGCTACCAGCTCTACACAAAAGCAAAATTACTCTTCCTGATAATATGTATTTTATCACAGAAAAAAACACAACAGGTTAAACAACTCCACAGCAAATGAATTTTGCCCTGAACTTCATATATAACTTGATGAGAGTTTCACTGAGTCAAACATTGGCTTTCCTTCATGCTGCTTAAATTGCAGTAACAGATAATAAAGCCTTGTTCATGCTATTTTCTCTTTCCAGGAAAAAGTTGCCACAAAGAGGCTGTGAGGCTTGGCAGAGATATGTACATGTTCAGAAAATAAAGTTGGTGTTCTAATATCATCTTATCCTCTAAAATTGGGGGAATTTCCCTTTTGTCAGCCTGAAATTTGGCCTTCTTGACATCTATCTTAACTTTTGAGTTGTGTTATCTTGATACTGAAAGAACTTTCCAATATTACACATATGGAAAAATAGGGAAATAGTACAAGTGTTGATTTTGTTGTTGGAATGTGAAATGAAATGCAGAATAAGGAGTTCTCCTTTGTGCTGCTTGGGTGTAGTGGTGTGTAGACTAACAAAGGGAACCCTTCTGAGGGACTCTGAGCCTTAAACAGCACTAACAGGTACAATCAAGCTCTTAAGATTCACCTTAGGAGAGGTGAGAAGTTTAAAGGCAGGAACTCAACAACATTTATCTTTCGAAAACAGAGAAGCCATCTGATCCAAAAAATGTGCTGATTGGTTATGGTTCACACAGATAATGCCAATATCAGCTACAAAGCTTTCATGCACATACTGTTAAATAAGCCTCTGCCCAGGCTGGCAGACTGCAGTCTTGTTTCCCTGAAGTAAAAAAAAAAAAAAAAAAAAAATTGCCCTTTGCCTCTCTGGAAATTATATTACAGGAAGGAAAAAAAAGCGTAGCATTTGGGATCTCACAAGATTATTCCCACGACACCAAAAATACAGGCAATCAAGTTAGGTAATAGTATGTATTCAGCCTGTGGAGTTGTTAAAAAGAAGTCTCATTTCAGGAATGTGATGGGACCAAATAGCAAAAGGCAAGTTCCTTGCTCAGGTTTCCTCAAGTGTGCCAGGCAAGCAAACCCTACGCTCCCAGAACAGTGTTTCCTTGCTCCTTCAGGAAAACATACACAACACTAACTTTCTCTGCTCTCCACCTTAACACACACACAGGCTACAAACTCAGCAGTCTGAAAAGTCCTTGGCACAGCCATTGAGAAATCTGAAGCTCTTTGGATTAGTGACTCACCTGACAGCAGCTATTAGCACTTCCCAGCCCAACACGGTCAGCGATGGTAAAAGAAGATATAAAAATAGCAGAAAAGAAAATGTAACTTCTGTTAGTAAGGCAACGTGCCTCAGATAACCAACTCTTTGCTCAGCTTCAGGAGCCTAATAATGACTTTGCCAGGCTGTGGAAGTGTGTGAAGATTGCTGCCTCCTGACAATGAAATTTTGATTACAACAAATTGAGGACAGCTGGGGTCTGTCCCCACAGCTGAGTTACTGACCTACTCCCTCAGAGGGAGAAACTTCTGTAAAAAAGTGACTGGCAGGAGAGATTAGGGAGTATTTCTAACCTTGAATTTAGATCAGACTCAATGGTTTTTTCCTCAAGAGCCATAAAAACATTTCACCTGCAAAAGGAGTGAGCGGTAAAGGGAACCTGTGCTACAAGTTATGCTTAGAGGTTGCTATTTGTGGAATTGAATTTTCATTACATGTATAAACAACTGACAAACCTCTCAGATTTTCTGTTCTTTCCATAATACAGGTAAGGACAGACTCTGCAATGGAAGAAGGAAATTATATTACATTTATAAGCAATGTGAGTCTTGGCTAGTAGGATCCAGAGCAATGGGAAGGACAGAATCCTATCCCTAGAGGTAAAAGATATTGGGACAGTAGGCTGATGTGTGGCACTTTTCTGCAAATTTGAAAGCATGAAGATTTCCCAAAAAGATGGGAGTATTTTTCACTAACTTGGTTTTAATCAGTTTTCAGCCATACCCTCGTGATGAAGACAGAAAATCTTTAGAAGTTCCTTTTCTTTTCCAACCTGGGACTTCACAGTAAAGCAGATATGACGCATTTTGCTCAGGCACAAGGTTTGTATGAGCTAAAGGAAGGTAAAAATAAAAATGAACCCAGAATTCAGCAATGACTTTAATGAGGTCTGCTGCATAAAAGTTTAAGAGCCGTAATAGGTGTGGTAGCACCTGGGAGACTTTGAAACTCTGACATTTCACACGGGCGCATCTTCTTAGCTGGGTTCAGCTCCTTAGAAATGCTGCTGTGGGTAAGAGAGCAGTCCTGCTCTTCCTGGGCACATGCTTTTGGCTTCCTGTGGTCAAGTGGTGATCAGGTTACTCTGCAAGTGCTCTAGTGCCAGAAGTGCCACAAAGGGGAGGTCAGTGATAGAGCAGCTGGAAGTAAGAAGAGTGGAGACATTTTCTTCATCATGCTCAGAGCATAAAAGTCATCTGAAGTTAGGATCTGAGCTAATACCACTTGAATTTGAAGTTTCCACTGTCTCTGCTTGGTGATCATCTATGTAAACTTCACCTAAATGGCGGGTAAATCACAGTCTACTTTCAGTCTAGGGGTGGCACACCAGATGGATTTCATCAGGTGATGGTGATTTTGGTAGTGGTAGCCTTCCAGTACATATTTAATTTGTACATCTATAAAGGACAGGCATAAAATCACCTCCCTCACACATAACAATCCTCTGAAGCACAAAATTTCTGCTTCAGGCCACAGCTTCAGCTGCACGGGCCCTGTCTAGACCAGGGCTTTGCCTACATCTGCCTTTGGGCAGACCCCAAGGGTTCCTTGAATACAAACTGTGTGCTGAAGACGGCTGGTCTGCTCAGAATTCTAAAATAATTATGGCATGCATGAAATGGGGGGGGGAAAGTTATAAATCAGTGGTTGTTTTGAAATAATTTCAACATATAGTTTCTTTGAATGATCCACAAGAACTTACGTGAGTTAAGATGAACTGCTTTGTATTATTGCCTAACCTGGTATTGGCAAGGCTCAGAATTTAATATCCCAAATTTGTACAGATACAATATAACATCACCTGCAGGTGAAGCAGGACAAACATTCTCTTACCTGGCATTAGAAATCATTCCCTTGGGAGAGACAGAAGTAGACTATTTCTACGTTCTTGTATCTTCTTTTACAAGTTCCTCACTGGAGAAGCATCAAGAACGAAGGTGCCACTACAGAAAATTTTGCTCCTTTTAGCAACAGGGCAATTCTTTAACAGCTGTTAACCCCTATGATGCCACAATATCAGAAGACTGAGCAAAAATAAATGAAGAAGAAAAACTGATACTCAACATTTTGGTTAATATGCCCTCAAAACTGGCATTTTTAATTCTAATATTGACTGCCTATATTGGAATCCCCAACGTTTGTTTCCTTGTTCTGTTTATATGTGCACAATGCCGGTTATTTTCCTTCTGCTTTTGTCCTCCTCTTATATTCTTTTAAAACTGACTTTTTTTGTCACATCTTCACAAGAGTTTGTATCCCAGATCAGAGCCCTGAAAATTGGTACTCTCCATCCCCAAGAGCACAGTGCTGGTGGTGATAATCCAAGTGCTTTCTTGGGCAGAGCTATTGCCAGCTATTGAGATGTTTCAAATGAAAAGAAGAAAAAAGAGGTCTTTTTAAATTTAGCTAAAAGGCACAGGTCTGTCTCTGAAACCCACTCAGCACCTTGTAGGATAAGTCCTCAGTTTTTTATTACTAGTGAGTTTTGAAAGCTGAAACTCAAGCTAGAATTACAGTTAAGAAAGGTTCCCTTAGGATGAAAGTGGAGAGGCCAAAACACAGGAATAAAGCCTGATTCTGACATGTTGGGTTCACTCTCCCAGTAGTAATTAATAACTTAGTACTTACCTATCTACAGCTTCTTTAAAGTGTGCTGTATCCATGCCAGCTTTCCTGGTCACTGAGAACCAAACCAGGTGGAAAATGTACCCTGATGTTTACTTTACCACAGCATGGATCAGTACTACCTTTAATCACAGTATTGCCTGCACTGAAAAGCAGGAATACGTCAAGATTTTTGGTAAATACAACCACCACACATGGCAAATGTCAAGATTTTAATGACACTCACTTTTCAGTGCTTTCCATCTTCAAAGGGTTTCCCATTGGTTGACATATTTTAGAGTAATGACTGTTTAAAATTGCCCTGTAACGTAAGTGCTCAAACTATAAAGCTGTTTTCTGGTGTTCTCTCCCCTGAGTTCATCGCCCCCAAACCCTTAGAATGGGAGCTGTATTCAGTCACAGCAACACAGTCCCACCATATTAAAAACTGCTTCATGACAACATGGTTAGCGGGTAGGTGGTTTTGCTGGTTAATCTGTCCAGCATTTTACTGTAAGTGAGACAACTGGCTCAGCCTCCAGGCTTGGCAGGGTAGGTGCATGTCTGCCACTTGAGTCTTGCTTTGCTGTTCTTACATGCCCCACTTCATTCAGAAACTCTTTTTTTTCTTTTAATCCAGCCTTCAAGCATGTGTTTCATAGATGGTCCCATCTATGGGATAATAATGCTTAGCTGTTGTCAACAGTGATGATTTCATAACATGTCACAAACAGGTGCCCATTATATTCCTTTATTGGAGACAGAAACATTGCATAATTACAGATTTGATGAGGAAAACTGCAAATAGTATAGACTGATTCTACTGCCAGCAAAATACAGTTATTACAGGATTTATAGACATACAAATATAGTGCTTCTCTCATGCCAGATGGTCGGTACGTAACAATGCCATTAGGAGCGCTTAATTGTGCTTCTACAAAACCTTTAGAGAAGAATGAGGTAGAGTTTCCTTTAGTTTATCCAGTATTTTTTCACACATCTGTCCTTTACTGCTTTTATATGCTTCAGATCCTTGTAAAATACCCAGTTAACTTTTAAAATTGGAGGAAACAGAGACCCTTCAGAGGTGTTTACTTCTCCCTCTCTAAGTTGCTAATTTCCCACTGCTTATATGCTACAGTTTCAGATAACTACTACTGCACCCTTCTAAATGCCTCAAAGGTCAAGTAGATCAGGACATCTGTCTTTCCAAATTTCTGCCTCGACAGAAATTGTTTGCAAATAGCTTCAGAAAAAAACTCTTACTGGTCTCCATTATGGCAAAGAACTGTTTCCATTCTGTCACTCTCTACTTAGTGGCCAAGCCCTCTCCCTGGAGACAGAGGGAATAGATCTGCTCTTTGTCAAGGTCCTCGACTATGAAATAGTGTTAACGATGCATTTGTCTCCTACTTTCAGTTCTAGTCAACAATTACTTAGAAAATTAATACAAATTATGGGAAGAGAATAGGCCACTGACCTGTTAGATGATCCGGAGCATTACGTGTTTGTTTTGACCTAATATTTTACTGTTTTATTACATATAAAAGTGTGTTGCGGGTTTCAGTTGAGATACGAGGGCCCAAGTTATGAAAATGTAGGCACAGATGTAGGTATTTAAGCAACTGAGTAAGAGCATCTACTATCCTGCTAGATTTTTGGTATACCTGGGTGGTCTCCTGGACTGAACAAGAATGGTAAAGATGTTCTTCTGGCCTCCTGCGTTCACTGACTATTTTTCCTCTCACTCCTGGCACACCTGTTCTGGAAACAGAAGACTTTTCACTTTACCTTTTGCTCTGGCATTTGCTGCAAGCACTTACTATTCACTAAAGCCCCAGAGGAGTGCACTGGTAGGGTGCAGTAGAGAAAAAAACCTGTTATTTCACCTGGAGTGGTCATGATTCTAGTGACAACCAAACCATAGTGAAGAGGGAATTTGACATACAGAAAGAAGGTGATTACATAAAGAATAAGAATGTTTGCTTTCTTCCTATAAGGTACCGAGATATGATAGTGTAAGATAATAGTTCAGCCACACTGTATAAGACTTCTAAAATGAAAAGCAAAGTTTTTATAAAAAGGTGCAAAATTTCAAAGATTCCATGTTCATCTCTTGATCACTTTGATCATAAAATGAAAGAAATTCTGTTTCTGCCCGACAGTACCTCCTGAGATAGCTTCTGAGCTCCTGCATCTCACCCTGAAATGACTGCTCTAAGCCTGACAGAATCAAAAACTATAAAGAGTCAGTGTTATTAAGAGAACCGGCTCTTAAGAAACTTTCCCAACTCTTGCTTAGAAAAACAAGCAATACACTTATTTTACCTATTGTTCCCTGCGTACCTCTTTGGTAAAAACCAAAAGTGACCAGTGTTGGAAAACCACTTGGAACACTGGAGTTAAATGCTTCCACAAAGTTGTCTTCTCTGTTTCTACCTTAACATTACCCAGCAGGCATTTTAAAGACTTAAAAATTCTACATCAAGGTCTTAAATCCTCCTTAAGATCTTTCTATGAACATGAAATTTAAGAGTCTTTTTTTAAACCATGGCATGAAAATTCAGGATTGTGGTAAAAATCAGACACAATAAATTAACTTTCAAGACAAGCAAACAGTATAAATTCATGTTCAGAAAGAGGGATGAGAATATGGCCATGCTGTTATTACTAGTGAACATAATAAGATTATTTTTAGTATATTGGGGTGTGGTTAACCTTGCTAGCGTGATTAATGAGAATTTTATCTGAGCTAGTAATTCCAAAACTTTATTCCAAATCTAAGGCTTGACTGTTCTAGTTCAGTATTGTTCCTCAGCTGCTAAATCCTAATGTAACCTGACTGTTCTACCTCAAGGCAACGACCAAGCTGGTTTTGTTTATGGAGCTGGGGACATATTTGCCAAGTGTGCTGTAGATGGCACTCAGATTTTGCACAGTCAGGGAAAATATCCTGGAATTCCTACAAAGCATCATGCTCAAAGCAAGGCCTGGACAGGAGGACTGCTACAAAAGTATTTTTCACCAATGCAATGCCAGTATTCTCTTCTGCTCTTATGGCTAAAAATACCTATTAAGAAGTTGCTTAGCTTAAATGATTTAGGACCTGTGAATTTTTTTTCCAAATCTTGAGGATAGTGACAAAATACAGTAAAACAGAGTTCTTCCACACTTCCAAATTGCTGTTCAGAAAATCTGTTGTCAAGACTGACAAAGAGGTCTCTGTCAGTGGTACTTGACTAAGTGCACCTCTAAAACAGTCTCATGCCAATGACTTTACACTGAGGGGTATAATCCTTCCTTCAAGCATCATTTTTAAATAGGATAGCCCTGTTTGAGGTGAATTCTCTTGTCAGGATGTTTCTGTATGCTACTTTGTAACTACACCTGTTACTCATTTATGTGTTCATGCAGCAAATCTTTAATGTGTTTCTATTTCAGATAACATTTTTCTCCTCCATGATCAGAATGGTTCTAATCTAAAGTAATCCTTGAAATACTGGACCCTATGTGGCATCTCTCTCACTGCTTAAAAAGCTTTGTCTGGAAAGCTTATTTGATCTGTAATAAAATAACTTTTTATGCAAAAGTTTGGATTAGAGTTAAAAGCAAAATCACTGGTAGTACTACTACTCTACACTTACAAAGAGGTTAGATAACTTGTCCAGGGTCACAAAGTCAGTAGCAGTCTATTCAGGCATTACATGGGTGGTAAAGCACAATTCTGATCCCTCAACACCTGGAATACGAACAAAATGCCTTTTTTTTCTTTTTTTTTTAACTGCCATGATTGCTAAAAGAAAAAGAATGCAGATGGTCACTTTTAGGTATAAGACTCAGTGGCATGATGACGGAAGATTGGGGAAAAGGGGCTGCAAATCCACGTGGAAGGGAGAGAAAGACAGCGAGGAAGAGCCCACCCCGGGACACGCTCAGCCGTCATTTACACCTGCCCACCTCTCAGGATACGAGCCTGACATGAGAACATGAAAACTCACCACCCACGGGGTGGATCCCATGCACAGGCAACGTCTGGCAGGCTGTGCTACCACCTCTTTTATTCTACTCCATAGCAAGGCACTATCAACAGACAGTTCACACTATGAAATCTCTTGAGATTATACAGATTGTTCTGGAGAGGCCATTGAATTCAAGAGGGTTCCTCCTCTAATTAGGTAGCTGTGAAATCAGTCCCAGCTGTTTTTCTGTCTAACTCCTTGGAATACCATGTATTAGACAGACATTTCAAATAACTTGCATTCCAAATTAATTTCAAAAATCACATTTTTCCAAATTAACAGTCTTCACGCCTGAGGATAAATAAGTATAAAATAAGTGTACAGAGTGTATGGTATCTCTACGTTGAATTTGGCAAACCCAAAGAAGAGTTTATGCACAAAGAGGAGAAGTGGAGGACAACTGCTTTTTGGCTTGAGATAGTTGAACAGGTGTAAACAATGGCTGAGCAGAGACATCTCACTGCCTTGCTTTTGTCTTCCCAGACTTCCCTTCTATATCCCAGAAAAACCATGTTTGCTTTGAACTGCTATGGACTGAACAGATTATCTAGTATAGGAACCTTTATTAACATTCCCACCTGGGTCTGTCACTGTAAATTCTCAGTGAATTTGCCCTCATTGCAGTTAAGAATCTAGTTAGGTAATGCAGGTTGCTGAAGCCATAACTCTTGGCACCAGAACAGCTCGTATGAAATGCCAGTTTCCTGAAAATTCTCTTATTTGACAGACTTCTTTCTTATGCATGAATCATGCTCACCAAACTGAAAATTAAGGACATGCTCAATACTGAAAATAATAATCAAAAGAATGAAGGGAAGAAGAAAGAACATATGAAAATTAGAATTCATTATTATCCTTTTAAAGTACCAGTGTTTGTAAAACATAAGCATGTGAAAGACTGAATCTCATTTGATCAACCCAATTAAACATTAAATAATTGCAGCCAATTATGCAAATATCACACAACAATATTAATTTGTTGATCTTTTTTTGAACAGTCTCAAATTCTCCTAATGTTAGACTATCTTATGTCTTAAATGATCAATTACCAGAACCATAACTAAGTGATGAAGAATGGATAATTGCCTAGTTATGATGTACCATACTCTTTCTATGTAAATCTGTTGCAATTAAACAAATAGGGCACATGGAGAAAAGATGTGCAGATGTTCTTTTACAATCTATTATTAGCCCAGGGAATACCACAGTTCCCTCCTAAATTTTACAAGCAAAACCAGGGAGAATGCAATACCAAATACTCTCTATTACTTACACATATTATTTCTTTCCTTTGGTTAATGGGATAAAAAAGCAGTGGCAGAATTCAGAGTAGGACAGCATGCAACACCAGAAGAATTTCCTGTACTGTACTGAGCTGCCAGCTCCCTTATTTAGGTTTTACATTTTAAAATCTAGAACCTATTCCCCTGGATGCCATTTGGAAATCAGCACAACTTTGAGTTGACACAGCCAGAGTAAAGCAATTAACCAAGATCTTCAAGACAACAGTTAACATACACACACTACATGTTTTTTTCTTCCCTGCAAGAAAAGACCATGCATTTCTATGGGTCATTCCAGTTTCAATTCTCATAATTTTGGAAAGGTGTCTCTGTGGTCAGTGCAGGAAAGAGTGCAAACCACACCAAATGAAACCGCCTGGCTTCTTCACATTAAATTATTTGCAAAGAGTTTAAGAAGAGGTTTATACAACTTTCAGGTTTACACTGCAGTAAAATAATTCTTCTATCTGGTCCTTATTCATTCTGCCTACTGAATAGATTACTGCTGGTACACTGAGGCCTTCATGGGGATTTTTGATATACAGTATCTGCCAACCCTAACTTCATCTTGAGATGTTAAAGTATTGTACAACCACTGAAGATAGATATTTTCACTTTTCCTTTTGCTGCTAAATCTAAGATGAACATAAGGGACAGATCAGATAGTTCAGTTAAAAGGAAGCCACATGTGGTTTCTCATTACATATTCTTGTAGAGAGCTCCATGCCACGCTCTAGTTAAAGGCACTCTTTAGTTACGATACTGGTCTCATCAGATAAATCTTCCTACCCCATGTTGCATCTTGACACATTCCCCATGTAATTTTTCCAGTCATGTAATTAAAAAAAAAGGAAAGACTACCAGCAGCTTGTAGTACACAGTAAGATACTGAACGAAGACCAGCACACGGTACAGATTCAAATGGTCAGAAATACAGTCACACATCACTATTGCTACTGTAAGTGAAACACCATTTTGTGCTTGCAGTTGTTGTCTAAAGAAAAACCTATTCAACAAATTTTAACAATGATTACAGTGTCAGAGAGAACCTTCAACTGTTCTTCATTAAAAGATCAGATCGGACCACAGTGAAAGGTAGGAAAAGTCATGATTTGAGGGAGCGAAAGAAAGAAATGGCTAAGAAAGGGTTGTCTTTAAAACCAGACCAAAAATGAACAGGAAAGCCATAAGGCTATTCTTTAACAGTTGCATAAGGCATGGATGGTCTATTATAAATTATATTTTGCCTTTTTAAACTATGTTAACAAATACCAGTAACTACAACGGACTTACAAATCATGGGAGAGATACTGTTGGGTCTTAAAAAAATAAAGTGCTAAATGTTTCCCTTAATACTGGTGCATCTCTACTGCAAACTAGGACAAGAAACATTTCACTTTTGCTTCTTATAGGACTCCAATAAAGTGTCAATAAAGTTCCACCAGTTTTACACTGAAGTAGCACTTTGGAACATTGATACAGAACATGGTGATCCTTTTTGGCAAGAGAGATCTTAAAGCTGTTCAACAAAGCTGTGTGCAAAAGGAGAAAGCTAATAAATATTACAGAATGATTGTTAGTGAACATTTGCAGAAGTTATTTCCCTAACTAGGGGCTACATGCTCTGTATTGCTTCCAAAGTATCAAGACTGCACGTGAGAGAGCAGCGTTAAATGGGGAATTATGTGCTTAAACAGAATGACACCAGGGTTTTGAATGAAAGCTCTTTCCTTCTTGTGCTAGACATTTGCTTGTTGACAACATTGCTTGTTCCTTAATAGGAAGGCCCTTCTAGTACACATATGTCGATGAAGACTGGATACATTTCACAGTGAGGGGTGAAGGGGACAAGAAAAACATTTTGCTGGTCTAAATTATGTGATTGGATGATGAAAGAAATTCCTTAATCCAAAGTCTGGGTTGCTGTGAAGAGTGGTTGAATTTTCACAGCCACAGTTGTCTAATCTTATTTTCTAGACATTGGGCTGGAAGGCAACACTGTGCCCACAATTCCCAGCTCCGTACTAGGCCTAACAAAGGGGAACTTTTGCCTCAGCAGGGCCTGACCATGCCCTTCAAATCATGTCTGGAGGAATGTATTCAACTATTAGAGAGGTATGCACTGCCCGAGCAGCCACTGCATATCCCCACAGAGGGAAAGGCAATAGGCCAGCAGGGACAATATTGCAGGCTAAGACTGAGTTAGAGAGTTTTGGCCCAAAGGACAGAGTTATTCCACAGAGTATGCATGAGGGGATCTAGAGGGCTATGCAAACTCAGGAATCTCCCATACAAGCGGAGTATGAAAGGAAAGAGCATGTGGCTAAACGTATTTGTTTCCCAAACACAGAGCAAAAGGCAGGATAATGCCAACAGAACCCTGCAGGCAGCAAACAGGCGACGTCCTCGTGTCACACGACGTGTTCTGCTGGTGATGGCAGCTAAACAAACCAAACTGAAGAGCAGTTGAAGAGCATTTTACAAGTTTTCAGACTGTACATAAGGAGGCACTAAGGAAACCATTAGGAAAGTTCTATTGCTAACATTTAGCACCTCTACCAAGAAGACAGGCTTCTACCAAGGAGATTACAGTAGAAATCAAAATGATTGTGTTCACATTTGCCGGATTGTGGAAACAATCATCCTGGGGAGCAAATTGATACTTAAACTATGCTACGCACTGGCAGCTACAGAAGTTGTCATTATTTGTGTCTGTTCTATCTGGAGGGTCTGAACTCGTCCACCTTCATGACACCAGCACCGTCCAGTCGCTGTCTTCTCTTCCATACTGAAACAAAGCAAAAATGGAGTTTAAGAATAGAAGTTAAAAGAAACAGTGTACAGTTATGATACGTTCTTAGGTCTGGCCTCAGAAAGATTCATTTCCACTGCTCTGACAGTAGTTTATACTATTTCTTATGTCTTTACTTCTGTCTTTGATTTGACCACAGCCTAAAAGTAGCTTGAAGCTTTAACCATATTCCAGAAGGTTGACTAGGAAGGGGCAATACTGATACTCACTAGAGATGATACAGAACAGTCCTGCTTCACTTTCATCAGTTTAATCCAGTTATTCCCTGAGGTCTGCTCACTAATTCTCTCCTAAGTAAGCCCCTGCTCAAGCTCCAATAAACACTTTTTTTAAATTTCTTTTTATTTTCAAGGTGGCTTTTCATTATAACATTCTGACTGAATGTGAAGTAAAACCATTACAAATATCAGAGAGTACAATTAGAGAGAATTGTAATCCAAAATAAAACAAGTCATCTTTCCATACACAAACCAACAGGATCACCAGGCAGAAATGAGGGTAACCTATAGCATGGAGTTGTATCCTTCCAGGAAAGGATACAGTCATTAGGCAGCACTTCCAGTTGCTAAGCTGGCTGCATGTTCTAAAACTCTGTCACCAGTCCTGTAAACAATGCTCCAGAGAGACCCCAAAACACACACAGGGCTCAAATGAGTAAATAAAACAGTGGTGGACACACTAGAGGCAGACGTGAGTTGGGAGTCCTTTCCCTCATAGTACTAAGTTCAGGGAGCTTAAAAACACTTTCAAACTAGAAATAAAGATTGATTTTAAAAGCTTCATGTAGGCTGAAAACATCACTTAATGATAATTTATCCAGAGTGGATAAAATGAACTCCTCCAATTCAGGTTCTACATCATCAGGAGAGGAGATAAAGGGACAGGGAGAAGACAACAGCTCCAAATCAGGATGAGCCAGAAAAAACACACTTCTAGATCCACCAAGGAGTGGTGTTCACTGTGCTTGTGTTTCACTCTCTAATCCAGCAGGTAAAGCCTCTACATGACCTTCATATGTGTCACATCTACTTTTCATTACTAATTCTGCTGCTCCTGTTCTTCAGTCTGCAACGTGGTTGATTAACACTGGTCAGGTGCTACACAGGACCTTGCACAAATTACTTGTTCAAGGGATTTTCAGCTTATATTCCCAGTAGTCAGTGTGGTTGCCTTGGGAATTATAACCAAGGCAAAGCAGATGTATTGTTAGTTTAACCACAAAACACTAAATTACCTTCATGTGAGGCAATTCTGTTGAGGCTGAGGGCAAAGGCGGAAAAAAGAGATGTCTTTGACCTTCCTATCACTGCCTCTCAGGGAAAGGGTGGCATCCCCACGTCCTCCAAACCAGAGAGCAGGCAGAGGCCAGGGGATTATTTGTAAATTTTGTTGTTTTTAGGTAGTAGTATCATGTAATGCTCTGGTGCTGACCAGAAGTCGCAGAGACTGGTCTGGGTTGTCATTTGACTACATTTTGCACCTGCTTCCAGAACTAAAGAGGGAATGAAATGTGATACCACAATCAAGATGTTTTCATTCTGGAAATTAAAGCAGGTTTAGCATCCTTTTCTAATTCTGTCAAAGACTTTTTGACTTCAGGCTTGTCAATCCCATCCCTCTTACACTGCCCATCACACCCAAGTCTTGCTTTGTAAAACTTAACACATTCATTCTCCTTTCTTGGTTGTTTTCCAGTGGCCTATCCACTTAGATTGTGCAACTTTGAAAAAGACAGGGGGTTGACTAAGTATCTGTTCACTGCTGTCTTGATTGCAGTGTTTAAATGTATTTTCTATCACGTAGCATAATGAGCACATCTTACTTTCTGTCCAACCCTTTCAAGTTGCATCTTAATCTATGTTTTAAAGGGTATAACAAGAGCTTGTTTATTCTCAAAGTATGGATGAAAAACCACAGAAACATCCAAGTGGTATTTCAGTGAGTGTATTCCCAGAGAAAACGATCTCATCCCTAAATCTTCTAACTCAAGCAGTTATAGAAGACAGTCTACTATGACTAATTCATTCATAAACACACCATTGTTTTTTACAATGTAATTGATTTAATCTGAAGTCTTTATCAACCTTTAGTGATCACGATATCTACTCAGTGATGGGAAGGGAAATGTGTATTGCAGTTCTACCACTGTCTCTCTCAACTGGCATGAGAAATGGAATCAGTTCTGCCCATGAGTTTCTAATTTGTCACTCCAGCTCTAGTTCCACTGAACAGCTGTTCACACCCAAAGAAATCCTGTTGAACACAGCAGACTTGTGAAAGAACAATAAGTAGCATGAAAACAGACTTGGAAACACAATAATGAAGAGAGTATGAAAATGTTAAAAAAGCATGCATTGTACTCAAGGGAATTGGTATAATAATACTGGATACAGAGCCCTGCATCTCCTGGTCAGAGGTTCACATGCAGGCCAGTGGTGGTGCTGAGAATTTTTACTTTTTTTACAAATGCCTGTTGTTCAACATGAAATGGATACGTTGCCCTAGTTCAGGCAACAGCACAGAGACCGTGTTTGGCTGTAATTTCCATTGATATTTATTCTTCAGAACTTGAAAATTCTTTGGAAGAACAGCCTCAAACTGTCCAAATGGTATGACAATAGTCCAGTGATACTGCAAAGAGATCTTTTATTTTAGCCCTCTTGGTAGAAAATATAAAAGATCTTGGTCAAAGATCCTGAGAACTCCCCTGACATTTTAAGAATAGTAGATATTGCATTTTGTCTGTTGCAGCACTGTTTTCTGCATGACATCCTGGGGTCCATTTGGATATGAGCCCAAGGAAGGCTTGGGACAAGAACTCAGAAATAAATATATGCATAATAGTCCAGGAGTAATGAATTTACTCTTGGCATGTAACTAATGAACACAGGGTATGTACACAGTTGAAAGCAAAAGGGTCCATATGCACAGTTGTAAAGGTCAAAGAAAAATAATGTTTAGTAACAATCTACAGTTTTTCAGCCTCCTCCTGAGCCTTGGTTGGTGATGGAAAACCAGAGTGATGAGACAAGAGGCAATGGGCAGAAACTGATGCACGGAAAATTCCACCCAAATATGAGGAAGAACTTCCTTATTGCGGAGGTGACAGTGCACTGGAATAGGTTGTCCAGAAGAGTTATGGAGTCTCCTTCACTGGAGAAATACAAGAACTGTCTGGATGCAATTCTGTACAATGTCCTCTAGGATGGCCCTGCTTGGGCAGGGAGGTTAGACCAGATGACCCACTGTGGTCCCTTCCAGCCTGATCCGTTCTGTGATCGTGTGATCAGGGAGGGCATGGAGGAAACCTCAGGGAGGAGGCTGGATAAATTTGTCTTAAGCCAGTCACTATCTACTGGGCAAGGGAGAATGACACATATCACAGAATTACTGTAAGAAGTTAAAAATTTTAGTGGCAAATCTAGCATCTTGAGCCAAGAGCTAAGAATGTGGAATGGAAACCATAAGACTTAATTTGAAGAAATCCTGACAGTAGCAACTGCTATTGGATCTTAAATAAAGGGGCTTGTAACTTGTCAAGACCTACTTTTACAAGTAGGTGGTCTTCAAGAACACTGTAAACTACACTAAATAAGGGAGAGAAAACAGGCAACTAAAATAAGAAGGGCCATCTCATGCTTATCACTGACTTTACCTGAAATGGTATTGGCTCCTGTGCCCAGACACGGAGATAAAGCACAGATTCCAAATAGACTGTGATGTTTAGCAAATCACAGAGAAAGGAACTGTTTTAAGAACAAGAAGTGACTGTGTGATTGGAAAGATGCTGAGAAAGAGAAACAGTGATCAGTTGGCTGCATCATGTGACTGTTTGCTGCTTCACCCATCCCTTTACTGATTAGACTGTACTCATTTGTGATCATGGTTAAAATGCTTCATAACCCTATTTTTTCCCCTTAAAAAGGAACCTATAACAATAGTACTAGATTTCGCTGATAACAGTAATATCTTGCAACTCCTATCCAGCTTCCAAGATGAACAGGGAAAAACCCTATTACACTTCATCCCTATTATATATTCTCAAGGAAAAGAGAAGAATATTGATAGAATAATCACACCAAATGAAACAGTCTATATTATTATATAATGCTTTCTATAGCACCATTACCCAAAAGATTATTTTCCAATGCTTTCAAATGTTCACCTTTTATTATTTTATCTGGTTATAGAGGAGGAAACACTTTACCTGGATATCACTCAGCTTATTCAGGAAACGAGTTGTTAACTCAGGCCCATTCTCCATAGTTGGAATGTGCAAATGCTGACATGGAATAAAGGAGCAGGAGAGGAGGGAGAGAAAAAGAGAGTAATATGAAGTAATAACCATACATATGAGTGCCTTATGGTTGCCAACAATTTTAATAAATATTTATCATGCTGTCTAGCCCTCTTTACAAGTAGTCAAAGGTTGTTGAAATGGGTTCTTTTTTACAGGAGGGCATGCTGAAGCAGTGAAAAGTTAGATTAGTAGAACTGTTATGCTATTTTTAAATAGAGGCTAATCTAAGCCTTCCAAAAGATCTATCCAAAACAGAGGGAGTATTGTGTAGGCAAGAGTAGTAACATTATATGCAGTATTTCATTTCAAAATATATCGTGTAGAAATACAACACTTACACTTACAGAACTTATCACTTGGTACCTTGATGTCTCTCATATTCTCTTAGCATCAGATAGTATCAATACATTTATTCTAGTTTATTAATTCAAGAAGTATCACCTAACAGCCAATTACTCTACTTACCACATTTAATGGAACAAAGCACATCCCTATATTCAACTTCAAAGCCCCAACCTTCTGAACTAACTTTGTGCTGGCTAAATAGCATCAAATCAGCTGAACAGCCTGAATGGCTGTGGAGTTCCACCTGAGCAGGAGAAATCTCCCATATGTCCATAGTAGGTGGAAGCAGCTGTGCACCCTCCTGAAACAGCTCTTCCATCAGAGCTGAGATGAGGGGTGAAGAAGAGATAAGCTTGAGAAGGAAACACAGCAGTGGCCCAGAAATTAGGTTTCCAGTCAAAGTCTTTCCTCTACTCACCTTTTCCAGGTGCCTTAGCTTTGAAAAAAAATGTTCAATGAAAGAAACATGGGAGAATGTATTTGTCTGTATTTGCAAAGAACCTTGGGTGTGGGAATTGTTTGGGTTTTTTTTTCATTTTCCATGGAATTGAAATTTTATGGTTTTAACTATTACAAAATTTCTAGAAGACAAGAGGGAAAGTTCCCATCTGACAATACACCAGTAACTCACTTGAAAAACACTGTTCATCTTTACAGGCAGCACTTCTTTTCCATCTCCCTTGTTTTTTGCTTCAGCTGCAATTAATTACAATAAAATTCTGAAGAAAGAAGAAAGGAAGGAAAAAAATAGACATTTTCTTACCTTGCCCTTATATAAAATTTTAGAGATAGGACATACAATGCAAGCTGTTCCAGCACCAAACATCTCCTTTACTCTGTCTTCTTCCAAGGCAGCTGTCAGATCACTCATGGTGATGTATCTCTCAGACACTTTGAATTCTCCCTGCACAAGAAGAATCCACCATAAAAATCGTAAAAAGTTTAAAAATGTCTGCATTTTTGTTTTCCATGTTGAAACATCTTTAATAGAACTGTTCGCCTAGTGGCAGTCAGGTTTTGGCTCTGATCTTGTGAACTTTTCAAACCTCCCAGAATCACACAAGAGAGACTTTAATGAAAAGAACAACATTCAACTAAGCCAATGGTTTGCCAGACACAATGCTGATGATTAAGTGACACTTCCCTCTGTTTTAGTACAGAATATCTGTATCACACTAGGGAGTAACATCAAAGAATTTGTCATTTGTTATGTGACACAGGATCTGACTACTCATGGTCTCTAACACACTTCAGTTTGTACAAAAATTACTCAATTATATCAAGAGAGCCTTTGCATCCCACTCTCAGAATCACTGATTCCTAAGCAAAATACATTCTGTTAATTCCACCTGCAAGGCCAACTAGATGTGATATAGTTTTTTAATCCCTAGTGAAATTTCACACTGTAGCCTGCACACAGTTGTCACATACAAAAATTAACTGTACTGCAGGCATGAGTAAAGCAATTCACATTGAACAGTCTTAACACTGGAAGTGTTTTACCTCCTAAAAGTGTTGAAGAATGCATTGCAACTGATCGAGGGGATGTGTTTAAAAGAAAAAAAAATAAACATCAAAATTTGAAATTTTTATTTTGTGGATTTGTAGGGACATTATTGTCCTATTAGACAAAACTAAAGCTTAGCCCTTCTTTTATATGCAAGCTTTTTAACATGAAACAGAGATGCTTATGATGGCAGAAAATATGATTATGTCTGGACAGGACAATATTTGGAGAGATAGAGGCAGGGACACCATGTAAGCAGAGTTTCAGATAGGTTAGGCAGTGGATGTCAGGAAGAACAGAACAGCCTTTGTGAGAGTAGATTATTTAAGTGGACTAAGGTGAGAATCTGGCATCTCACAAAAAAAGCCTTACCAACTAGAAATGTCAGTCTGTCTTGTAAGGGAGGTGAGACTGACAAGTGTGCATGCATGTCTGCACTTGGGGAGTACCAATACAAATAAAGATACATAAAAATTCAGGGCAGCTCATCAGGGGCACACATGCACCATGAAATACATGCCCAGCACTCCTCAGTGCAAGTTAGGTTTAACTGTGTATAACTGTGTATAACTGTGAACTCTATTTCTGGAAGTCTTTTAGATACATGTGGTTGGAAGTTGAGTTAATACCTGGGAGAAAGTATCACACATGCCTGTGTTATTCCTGCTGTTCCACCCCAAACATAAGCCTGGCCAAAACCAGGAGACAGGATACTGGGCTTGATGAACCCTTATTTTTACCCAAGACACAGTAAAACCTTTGAATACTGTAGAGGCAGAGTGAACAGATTGCTGCATTTCAAGATATGAGGTAGTCCCAAGTGTCCAAATAAGTTCTTGGATGGCTACAGTACAGAACAGGAACTGGAAGCAGACAGATGACTTCAAGGCTGTGGCTAGCTAGGCTGCATGCTAGTTAGTGGAAACAAGGCTGGAAGCATGAGAACTAAGTGGAGAAATAGTGTGCTGATGACTGAAGTATAGCTACGGTCATGCATGGTAATTCTTTGTTTCCTTGCTTTAAGTTGCTGGTACCGGTGGATTTAATGAGAATTTTCACGTTAAATGCTACACGCAGCTACTTTAACAGGATTGGTATTGTTCTGTGTGACAGGTGTGGGTATCCTGATGCTGTTGGTATTCTATGAATTTGCATGCCCTTAGTTCCCATTTAGGTTAAGGGATCGAGTGCACCCTCAGCAAGTTTGACAGCAACACCAGGCTTTGTGGCGCAGTTGTCACGCTGGAGGGAAGGGATGCCATCCAGAGGGACCTTGGAAGTAGATTTTCAGACAGGTTGGATATGACTCTGAGCCATTTGATCTAGTTGAAGATGTCCCTACTCATTGTGGGGAGGTTGGAATAGATGCCTTTAAATGTCCTTTCCAAGGCCGGGTTGGATGGGGCTCTGAGCAACCTGGTCCAGTGGAAGGTGTCCCTGCCCACGGCAGGAGGGTGGAACAAGATGATCTTTTAAGGTCCCTTTCAACTCAGGTCATTCTATGATTCTATGAACCCAGACTATTCTATGATTCCATGATTTAACCAGATCAGTTGAACTTTAAGGTACTGAGCACCAGAAATGTTTGTTTCTGTTGACATTATAACATGGTATTTGAAACTATTACTCCCAAGGCCAAAACGCTCACCCAACTGCGTGCCAGATCCAAAATGCTTTGCCTTGTCACTCCTGGAAGGATGATGCCATCTAAAGGTGGGGTTGCCAGTTCATTTTCTGTCAAACACAGAAGAAATAGAAACACTAGTTTAAAAAACAACCAAAGTAACAGAAGAACATGTTTACTGATACTACACCAAACATGTGGGTCCCTTTAAATTCAGCATATTCCATAATTCTGTGGTACCCAGTAAGATGCAGTTTATATCAGAGTTCAGTAAGAACACAAATTACAGAAAATCCATTCAAATAAACAGTTGTTCAGTGTTTGGAACCTTTTGAGTACACTTCAGTGGGTGGGGAAAAAACAAATTTCATACATCAATATATACATGGCTAATGCCTAGTAGCAGGTTTTATTCCTTAGTGCATTATGGGTTCACTGTATAACTATTGGAAACCATCCAATGGTTCAGTCTTCAAATTCTGAAGAGAGAAGCAGAGGTAAAGCCACACCTAATAATCCCAGGGTAGATCATGACTTTCCCTGAACTGCTTTATTTAATTTAGGAATATGGGACTTAGTATACCTGCTTCATGGCAGGAACATGAAACATTTACCAAAAATTTTGAAATCCATCTACTGAATCAGTAAAGCAGTGGAAACCTTGCCAACTCTCCTTGAGAGACTTCCTTAATGGTCTTTTGCAGTAGGTTAGACATCCTTTTTCCCCTCCTAATTTTCTCTTTACAAATTAGAGCTGTCTTAAGAAAACTCCAACAAGAACAAGTTCTTCAACTAGTTTGGTTTTTTAGCTTGTGCTTCTTGTTTCCTTTTGAAAAAAAACCATTAGATAAATATTCGTCTAACGTAACTAGTGAAATGGCAGATAAATGGTAATCCACACTTGTACTTGAGCTACAACACAAGTTTGTAGGTAGACTTTGTTTTTCCATCTGTTCTTTGCAGCAAATCAGAGTTACTCTTTTTCATTTTGAACTATCTCTTTCATTGTAAACAGTTTAACATTTGAACATTTCAACATTTGAAAGGAATATAAACATTTAAAATATTTGCTAATATTTGCTAATAATATGTTCTATTATCAGAGAACACTGATCATTCACTCTTTTTCAGACACTTTTAGGACAGTCTCAAGTTTGCACTGAGAAATCAAGACATCCACAGTCTTTCAGTAATACTCTTCATATTTTTTTCTAACCGTTTTCTTTCCCCAATGATAATTCACTTTGCTTCTTGATCTTATAAGGAAACTACCCTTCTCATAAAATCCACAAACCATTAACCTTTTTGCTTATTTTTTACCTAGGTCACATAAAAGGAAAAGATATGTATCTTCATGATTTTATTATGTCCCCATCTCCCTGGACCACAAGAAGATCAATGAATCCAGGTCTTTTTGAACCCCTCTCAAAGGAGAAGCTGTCTTTAAAATATTTGTAAAAGTCCTGTGAAAAGTTGCAGCTGAGTAGAAGAGAGAAACACGGTGTTCGTCCTTGGACTGTGGGAGCAGGTTGAGCTCAGCTGCTCCATACTCTGTTTTCAGCACTCAGGTAGATAATTCCATGTACAAACACTGCCTGCCAGCCAGAGCACACACAGCTCCAGACTGACTACAGCATGGGCTCTCCCCACTGTGCAAGAGGGGGCATTGGGGCTGGGGTGGGATAGGGGAAATGGAGGCTAATTAAATGGAACTGGTCACTGAATCCGCTACTCAACTTTCCATTTTGTCAGGAAATAGCCATTACTTTTTAATGCTGCCAGACCTGGATTTATTCATTTGGACTGGAAATTTTTCTTGTCTGTGCTTCCCTGATCCTTTTATGAGGATCCATACACACATAAGTAATAGATGTGAACTGCCATGCCAAAATGTATAGAAAAGCTGCCCTAGGACAGGCTATATGTTCTGCTCTGTTTTGACTAACCTATAGTGCCATTCCCTAACCTATCCAGATTCCTAAGCACAGCAGCGATCTCTTCTTTCTCATACAGTCAAGAATAGCAGCTTTCCTTTCTTAAAAGTCTGTACAGCATCACTCCTAATTATGATGCATGTCTGGCCCTAATTCTGGCACAACTCTCAAAAGAAGTGGACTTTAAAACTTTCCATGAGCCACAGAGTTCACTTGATTCTGAACATGGAAAACCTGATGTCCTGCATTTGTGACACAGTCACGTACAAATGCACTCCTTTCTTTAATACAAAACTTCAAATACTGTGGACTTTGATACCAAATGTTGTCACTACTCTTCTCTATTTGGTGATGTTGCCACAGATCTTGTCCAGGACCTGTTTAAGCTCAATAACATATATCAATTGATTTGAGCTAGTCTGAAAAGGGTGCCAGGCCAAACCAGCCGCCAAACAGCACTGAGCAGACAGGACATGGAAGTCTCAAAATGTTTCAAACAGCCTGCTCCGTAGAATTTTGTCAAGTGTACATATGATAACTACCAGCCTGGGGCCACCCGGGGAACATCTGCTCCCCTGGTACCCGGCAGAGATGATAACATTATCCAACATGGCAAGCCAAAAGCTCATCCTCTCTGTGAATTGATGCCAAACCAGGCTCCATATGACATCAGTTTGTCCATCTCCCAGAAACCAGGCTGGGAGCTCACAGACTCCATTTGCCTTCTGAGTTATTTTGACGGGCTGGGAGCCTTAAAATGCATAGTCACAGAAAGGGGGGGGAAGGCATTTGAAGGAAAATGTCAGGGTTTCTCTTCTCCTGTTATTGTCACATTGTTGCAGCAGTAGCACCATCAGCCCAGTGCCCCATTAAACCAGGCACAGTGTAGGTTTGCTATAACAATGGAATTCCATCAGAGTGTTTTAAAGGGATTTTTTAGATGAGGTCTTGCATATTATACACCTTTGATTTTTTCTACACACCTGTATTTATGAACATATAGCAGACAAGACTGCAAACATGAGATGCCTTCAGTACTACTCACAATACAACTACGCTGAAAAATTCACCTAAATATATTTTACCAAAATGATAACAAATTCCAAGTGAACTTCAGGGTCAAGAAGAGCCCAGGAAACCCTTTTTTCACTATTATTAACAGCTGACTTCTTCTCCCAGTTTGTTCTGGACCTTTCTTTCTTCTTATTTCCCATCAGGCTTTTCTTCTACTTTTCCCTCATGCAGTCACTCTGTCTTTGTGTCTCTGTCAATTTGCTTTCCTCAATTACTTTCTCCTCCTTTCCTTTGTCTGTCATCTCATTAATTTGCTGCTCTTCCCTCCATGCTATTGCTTTCTGCTAGAGCAGAAGATACAATCTTTATTTTCTTTTATCTACCTGTACAAGATACTTCTGCAGCACAAATAACCTTCCGACTACAGAACACTAAGCAAACCTACCTCAAATTTTACCTCTTTCAGAGAATCTTTTCACATATCTATTTTTTAATTTATGAAATTTTGAAGTGGGTACTATTAATCACCATTTTAATAGCAGCACTAAAATATTAAGTAATGTCTGAATGCTATTAACAATGTCTTAACATTAGAGCTAGAAGTGGAGCCCAAATGGTTCCAAATCACCTGAAGAAACTGAATTTTTCAAAAGTGCACACAGATTTCATAGCTAGCCATCTTCATGTTGGACATACACTTGAATTTTGAGGTTTTCCATAAAGCCAAGCCTATATTTTAGGCAGAAGAACGGACATTGTTGCAGGAAATGAGTTGCAGTGTCAACAGTTTCTTGGGATAGTTACGTGCTCTGAAGAGGCAGGTGGAAGGGACTGTAGCGCAAACAGATTTTTCACTTAGTGAACATAAACTGCAAATAGGATTTGATGAATGAAATGCCACATGCAACAGCATGTGTTTATGCAACAGCAGATATCCAGGTATGGTCATATTCTAAGCCTCTGCCAGAGCAGCAGGGGGAATACAAGAACTGCATAGAGCATGTCACGTTATTTTACCAAAAACTGAGTGGTTCCCCCCCTACTCCCTCCTTGATGTTACAAATAAAACATTTTTTCAGGCTCCTCCTGCCACCCAGGATAACAGGTCATGCTTAGTCACAATGCTGTAACTGAAAATATACAGCAAAGGCTTGCAAGAAAAGCCTACTCCCATGGGAAGCATGGATGTTCTCCGGTCTAGGCTTTACCAGGATGGGTCTCTGACTGGTTATAAACCAAGGAGAGCAGTTCCAGCTACTCAGCAGTGACCTCAGAACAAAGAAAGGCATTTTCCTCTCCATGATGGTCTGTAATTTCTGCCTGTCTCAGTTTGATATCTCTCTCAGCTGCAGCGTTTGCATAACAAAACCAAACCACAGCCTAAGTAAGTGTCCTTCGTGAAGTGACAGAACACAATGACAAGCGCTTTCTAAACCCCGGTGCAAAGCCGTAGGTAAGGCATGTGATGACACACATTGGCAGCAGGAGCAATTCTCAGCCCAAGATCCCCTAAATTAAGCATTACCCAACACACCGGGGGACAGCGAAGTGCTCCAGTGAGGATACTGCCGTGTCCTGTGAGAGGGCAGGTTTGCCAGCACACAGCCTGCTTGGGTGGCATGAATTACAAGTTGTTTGCTACGGCCACCTCACAATAGTACCATTCACTAGTGCACTGGTAACACAGTGATTGGCAGATCTTTGGAACAGTACGGTGCTGCAGCTGGATAATTCCAGCATACTCCTGGTTTAAGCACAATGAGAACATTGAATTCTAATTATGTCCCCGCTTCAGTGTCCTTTCCCTGGGCAGAACAAGCCAAAATCTATTTTCATGTCTCTCCAGCAAAGTTGCACAAGGCATAAATTTGGCCATCTAGCTACACTGACAAATCTAGTGCTGCTATAATGACAAGAAAATTTCCAGTATTTACTGTTTCATTCACAAAACTTCATGGACTCATTCCACACTGAGGGAGTATCATCCCCCTTTTAAAAAAAGTGGTAAAGATTCTGCAGGACAAACAATGAAAACAGAGCTGGGAGTCAGGTAGCTGAATCCCTATTATCCTACACTATCCAAAGCACACTGCTGTCCCCACAGAATGTTGCCTCTGTACTCTGCAGCTGAGCACTGTCAGAAAAACAGCAATTTTCAAGGGTACTCGTGGCACTACAATGAAATCTGAGTTTGAACCCTGCATCTGCTGCATCGTGCAAAAACTCAATAACACTTCATATTCATGGAGGGCCAGCATCCATGGAAGTCAGGAGGTATGCTTTTTTTTCACTTGCCTGTACATTGGCTCAGTCCTTTGAAGAGTCATGTAGTCTTCCAAACCAGTTATCAGGTGCAGCTATCACCTTTCAAGATCTGAATATATGCATACACAATGGGTGTTTTTGAGATGTTTAAATAGTTGGCAGCTCATTAACTAGTCATCTAATCAGCATCTACATTGTTCAGAGGTGACCGTGGGTACAAAGGGGTAAAAATAGCTTAGAGAATGGTGGTATGTCTTGAAAGCATCATTTGAGCATTAGTGATCTGGAACACTTACTGACATGCTTCTCTCTGTCTGTCATCACTGGACAGAACTTCAAATTCTTTGAAGAAAGAGCATTTCTTCATGAATTGGATGCTGAAATACTTCTGGCTACGCTTTGGGAACATCTGACTTGCCAGAAAGTAACGATGGGAGCCACTCATGCTCAGAGCCACAGAATTTGAAGAGATGCACAGCCACAAGTTGTCTTTTAGCACCTCTGCGCTGCTTCTAAGCCAACACCTCCTCAGAGATCAAGCTGCTACAGCTGAGACTAAGCCTGATGTGTGACCTTCTGTCTGGGTAGACTCTGCCCTTCTGAGCACATGGACTGGCCCAGCAGTTGAGTATGTTATCAGCAGGCAGCATTCACACCTGCTCTAGAATCTCCTCTTTCACAGTGATATAATTAACAGTCACCTATTAGTTTTCAGAAGAGAATAATAACTTCTTTTGTTAAATCATTTTAATTTAACAGTTTATGATCTGCATTCTAATAATCATTTTGTGGATTAAACCGCCTACTCTGTTAAAGTTTTCATGCTTTATGTTACTGTACCTCCATCTTCATTGATCCAGTAGAGAAACAGATTCATTGTTCCAACTTCAGTTATTTGGTGATCTTCTCCATAGAGCCACAAAACCTGCTGGCAGCCAAACTCCAGGGCTTCTTGCTGGGCATAAATAGCAGAACCATAATTCCTTCAGAAACAAAAAGAAAGAGCAAACAGTTATGACTATCTGGTTGGGTATCTTTTAATTTTCAAGCAAGATTTTGTGCACATCTACCTTATGAGCAAGTGCTCTGCACAGTCACTGCTTGTCCCTGGGACATTTTCTTTGGAAGTACTCTACCAGTATTTTACTAGATCATTTGTATCCACAACCCAAAACTTTGAAGAGCTGAACAGCATCAACAGCTCAAAGATATCCATCCAAATTGTCTTAAAAATACCTCTTGTTCCATATTCTGGACATTCTAATTACTGCAATTAAACACCATAGGAAAGCATTTATCTTTATTTAGCAGTTGGCATCCTGGAGAGAGAATAACAATTACTCTCCAGTTCATGGCTTAAAAAAAAAACCAAGAAAAAAATCATCTACCTCATCTCATATACCTCAGATTAACAGATGAGTAATATGTATCAGATGAATCTCTTGCTGCACAAATATCAACAGAGGCACGTTATTTCTTTTCTAGTAAAAGACATTCACAGAACAAGTATCTTCAGGAGCTCCAAATGGGCCCTGATGAATTCCATATCCTTGAGGAGCAAATGTTTTCCTAAAATGCTGCCTGCAGAGCAAATCCAACTGAATAATACCTGTGCTTAGGCCTAGTTCAGCAGAAAACTGCCAGGCTAAAGTCAATGCAGATAATTGGCTCTTCTTTCCCTTAAACCCCCAAACTCCCTCTGCTCACTGCAGATGGCTTGTTGGGACAGCCTGCCAAGGCAGGAGGTCAGCAGCCAGTGCTGCTCCCTGCCCAGTTGGCAGCAGGATGCTGCACTGAAAGATGCTTCACAAAACTGATGTCTTCAGTGTCTACTGCAGCAAGGGGAAGAGCGAAAGTATTACATGGACACCTTCCAGCTCCAGTTCCCTAGCTTGAGGTGCTGCAAAAAAATCAACTTGGCAGTAATATTCAAACAAAACCATGCAACTGCATTGTATAAATAATATTTGCGAAGTACGATTTTGAAATCTTTGTTGTAGCACATTGTTTGTTTAACTACTGCATTTAATGTCTCTACATCTGCTGGATTAGGTACTTCACTAAAACCCAAATCTGCTTTGTGAGCTATATAGAGAAATGCAGAACAATGTTTTCTTACCCTCCCACTTTGCAGTCCCCTGTTCCTCCTTTCCAGGCTCTTACGTATTTTGGATCCGCCCATAAGGATATTGGATTGAAGCTTCCACTTGCAAAGTAAGGGCCTACAGGGCTCAGTATGACATACAGGAGGGCTTTAGTCGGCTTCTTCACTCCAAGGGAAGGCTGAAAATAAGGAATGTAAACAAATCAAAAGTCACTGGCATACTTCAAACATCAGGTGCTTTTGAAACACTGCCTTCAGTGGAACTGCAGCATGAGAGCTTTTATCAGGACAATGCAAAGTGCTGCAATGAAGAGAAAATATTTATGTAACTTCCCCCCATCCAAGCAACATAACAACCCTAATTTTATAGACTATCACCATTCACTTAAAGCATTCCATTTACCTATATATTACTCTAATCTTCTGAAAGAGTTCCAACCTTTTGAGAATTCAGAATTTAAGCTTAACAAGGTACTATATAATCACATGAATTAATCATAGCAGAAGCCTTCAAAGCCTTCTAGGGGAAGGAGTGGCAAGAACCACTGCTAGCAATAACAACAGTGGGGAAAACAGTCAGCTGCATTAGTGAGGAGAATTAGCCAGTGCCACTTAGAACTGGCATTGGTAGAGTTGAGTGCTGGCATTGTGAATGACTGTGTGACAACTAAAATTATTTGCCTGCTGGAAGCAGTTCACACAACAGCACAGGAAATAACCTGGAATGTAACAGATTTTTTTTCCCCCTCCTCTCTGGGGGGCTTCCTATCCTGCAAGTCATCACCATCAATACTTGAAGGTGGAGATGAAGTTTGGTACTGGATAAAGTCTGAAGCCTCTGATAGGAGACTGCTTACCTTCATCATTCTGTAAAGCTTGGGATTGACAATAGAATCACAAAATTATTATGTTGGAAGGCACCTCTGGAGGTAATTTTGTCCAACTCTCCTGCTCAAGCAGGGCTACATAGAGCTGGTTGCCCATGACTCCTGGGATCTTCTGTACAACTGAATAGGTTACTATTTTCTCTCCACTCACAGAAACCAGTCTTGTAAAAACAACAAGCTCATCTTTGGTTTCTACTGAGAAAAAGTTACTAAACTTAAATGTTCAGGACCAAAGCTAAACAAAGCACAAAAAACTAAACTGGGAGGTGGAAGGGAAAATAATAGTGTAATACTGGAACGATTGTAAAATTCAAATAAGCCTTCCCCAGGTACTGAAAGGGTTGTTTTGATTTCTGTCTAGCTTATGCCTTCAGAAAGATTTCAAACAAAATTAACTGAGATCTCGATACTTTTCCTGACTTTTACGTGATCTCAATACTTTTCCTGACTTTTACAAAGATTGTGCTGCCTGGTTTCTAATTGTGTTGACTCATAAAAGCTTAGTAGGACATGAAATCTGGAAACAACATATGACATAGTGGAAAGGCCAGATGTGCTGGCTAACCTGAAACAAAACTCAACAGCAAAAGAATTTCCAAAAAAAGGGGGGAAAAAAAATCAATGTTTAATATCACTACTTTACAGTCACTGCATGGAGATTCTTCCATCTGAAAATCTGCAACTAGTTCACAAGCATTAAATTAATGGAATCCTAGAACACACCTGAAATGTGCAGTGGTCATGTATGGTAACTACTTACAGTCGTGGATATTGCTAAAGAGTAACTTGCCTAGTTTGGAACCCTACCTTCTTCAGCTGCCTTGTCCTACGCTCTACCATGATAAGTTTCTCTCTTGCTACTGCTAAAAAAAACCCCAAACAAACACCCTCAAAATTTTCATTAAAAGAAACTCTCTGTTTCTAATTCCCTTTATCAACACAATAGGCTTGACTCACACCCATGTGAAACTCAGAGAGTACGCAGTAATACCTTATAGCAAAGGAGCTCTTATAAGGCCGTGTTTGTGTGGGTTCAATAACAAATTAACATGAGAATTTGTTCTCAGTTCTGTTAAAAGTGTCTCTCAGAAGAGCCATCTTAATTTACTGGGTAGAATCTTCTGAAATCACCTCACTAAGGTCAGGATGGAGGTATGGGTTTAAATCACAAAATGCACACAGCAAATTTCTGTTCCCTCATGCTTTCTTCAGACTATTAGGATTTTAAAGGCATGCATTAGCATGCCACAAATAACTATCCTTTCAGTGCAAATCCTAAGTTAATTTTTCTGTTCCCACTCTGAGTAGTTAATCCAAGTTTACTTTCTGTGCTCTGAACCGATGTGCCCACTAAGTGGCAGTGTGGTCAACATTAAATTTGTGCAGTAGCGCTACAGGTGAGGAACTCAAAAGTAAAAACACAAAACCAATCTGCCCCCGAACTGTAATCCTGTCATCTACTGACTGCTGCACGTTTCCCTTTATGGATGGAGGCTTTTCTCTCATACCAAAATACACAGAGGTTAAGGGGGGAAGAAAGCGTTTCGCACCTCAGTTCCAATTAAGGTAGGACGGATGTACAGGCTGGCAGCGGTTGAGTATGGGACCCACTCCTTTTCCACTTCCACGAGCTTCAGGATGCACTCTAGCAGCTCATTCTGGTCAAAAGACTGGGAAGGAAAAGCAAGGGGAGAAAAGTAAATGGAGAAATATAGCTGGAACATTCTATGGTCTTTACAGATCCAGATGCTGCAAGGAACACATCATCTTGCTTTAGTTCATTCTTTACAGAATTAAAGATACCATGGTCTCGGCCATTGTGCCTTTTTGTATAGCACCCTGCATGTCCTTCTCTGGTCCAAAGTATCATCCTGGGATACTAAAAAGGAGCCATTGACCCTTCTTGCCTCCAAAGCACATGGACAGAAGTCCCCGTGCAGCCAACACCTTTACTTTGGCGTGCAGCAAGCTAGGGTACCACCTCTTCTGCCAAAGAGTGCTTTGGGTTACAACCCCAGGGGGCCAGCAAGTCTACCAGTTTGTTACAAAGTTCCCAAGATCTTACAGCTAATAAGCCTAGGAGGAAATTCACTGGCCAAGATGCAACTGCTAAAAGCAGTATTAAGTTGCTGGCACGACCAAAAACGAAGGCAGTCAAAGCCTCAATGACTTAACTGGACTGGAAAGAAGAAAAGGAAACCATTAACACCATAACAGATTAATCAGCTGTCTGCATGCAAATACCTGCACCATTCCTCAGAAACAGACTGTACATCTGAAACAGTAGGGAAACAACAAAGAAAGCAAAACATTGTTCTGATTTTTTTAAAAAGCGTGTCAAACAGTTTCTTTCACTGAATAAGATCTGTTAACAAAGTTTAACTGCACTATGGAAGAGTTAGAGCGTTTGATAAACAGTACACTACTTAAAAGTTTCAGAGGTTTGCACTCTGAAAATGGAAATATGCTCTGACTTATGGAGAGCAAGATGCCTTGGCTACGTACTGGCAGAGTTGTCCTCCTTGCTGACCGTGCCATCCTGTCCATGTTGAGAGTTGGCCGGAACAGGCGGATTTTGCCATCCACTCCTCGGTAAGCCTTCATTCCTTCAAACAGCTACCAAGCCAAAAAAAAAGGAGAGAAAAGAAACCAAATAATGATTGAGATGTGTCATCCCACAGGGATCTGTGCAAATGCAGAGCACACCCTTTGAAAATAAAAGAACTTAACTATTCCTGCTCACAGTGCTCAAACATAAATGCTAACTAGTGAATCCTGGCAACACACTCATGTGAGATAGGATTATGAAGTTTGTATTATGAAGATGACCTGTCTATAATTCAGGCGTGTCTTTCTCTGTCAGGGAACTTAATGATAACCCTTTTTTTTTTTCCCATAGTTTGGTTACAGCAATTAAAATTTGTAACATGTGTTTGACTTAACTCCCTTACATCCTGACTGATACCTATGATTAAGCCAAAACAGTATTCTCCCTTACATAAAGGATCTATAGAATTTTACGTTAATAATTTTTAAGTCTCTGTCCGAAACACATTTTTGGTACGAAGTGTAAGATAAGGTAATTAAGAGAATTCTGTTAAAAGTTCTTGTAGTTGTAGCAGGATCTTAGTCACTTATTTCCCCATATATGCCTATGCTGTGGAAGGGGGCTTAGCCTACATGAGAGATGGATGCATCAGCCTTACAATAGAGGAAACATGCATGAAAATATTTTCTTTATATACTTTACAGGAAATGTAAATTCAACATAATTATCCTATCTGACTGCAGAATCCACACGACTGGTGTTGACCACCATTTTACCAGAAACCCCTATACAATCAGTGCCCTCCCAGCAGAATGCCCTACAGCACCTCCTAATCACAACAAAAGCCATATGCCCACAAAATACCCACAGTTATTTTCAGATAAATAAATACCCATAGTTATTTTTACAGATTGATAATTTCTGGTTATACTTAAAGACAAAAACCTGATGTATGATATAAGCTCACACTAATAGATACATATATATACATGTATTATTTAGATTAAGTATTAAAAGGCCACTTAAGCTTATAGACAAGAGTTCAGACTTTTAGAATTTATTTTCTAAAGCATTTCTTTATATGTGAATTTCAATAGAAGTTCTATGAATTTAACTGCATCACTGCTGTCAGTCTCCTCAGGCTTCTCCTCCTCTGACTGTTCCACGAGTGGCTGGAACTACATAACATGTTGTTGGAAGTCTACACACACAGCTTTTTTATTTGGAAAAAAAAAAAATCCTGTATTTGTGTACAAGTAATGTAGTAGAATACTCCAGGTTTCATTATTATTAAATTCTGTAATATCTTCCCTCAAGGGTCAGTGAAACGCAGTGTTTAGAAAGCTTTCGTGCAGTCCCATGGCAGAGCTAGGTCCTTCCACATGACAAATTTTAATTGGGTTGTAACTGGGTTGCAGGAATCCTGACAATTTTCCTCAGGCTATGTGCCAACTAAGTAGCAGAACCAGAATTAAAACCCAGAACTTTTTTACCTTCAAAATTTAACTTATTCCAATGGCAATGCCAACCTTATTAAAAGCTTTACAGGCAGTTTTGAAAAAGAAATTGTTCCCAGGGTAAACACTGTAGCGACAAGAAAAAAGGTCGTATCTTTAATAAAGGATGGCATAGCTGGTGATATGGATGATACTTGGAAACAATTTTTATCGGGCCAGTTACTAACTAATGCCACATTTTTGGAATGCTACTTTCTTATCGCTTTTATCCACCCCACCCACCCTTCTCCCAAACACATTCACAGAACTTTTAATGAGAGGGAAAAGGGAGGAATGCCACTACTAAGATCTGATCGATGGTTTGAGAGAAGCAAGAATCACATCATTACTGAAACACAAAGCCTTCACAAGATGTTAAATGTTTTTCTCCAAAAATAAATACTTTTAACCTTCCAGAGCTCAGTAAAACCTTTCACTCATTAAAAGGGAAGATAGTAATGTGTTCCAGAAATGCTTAACTTGAATAAAAGCAATTGTTGTGGTTTGGTTGATGGTTGGTTGCTACAATGGTGTGAAAACAGTATTATCTGACATCTGTACATCACGGGAGCTGGATCTGGAGTTCAGCAGATCCAGATTATCACACTGCATCATGGAAGGCAAGGAGGAAGGGGAGGGAATGCCAAATTCATCACTTTTATTATACCCACTGTGTATTCATTGAGCCACAGCAATGACACCAGATTCTCCTCTGTCTGTCCTCTTGGCTAGAGGAAACGTGATGCAATAAGGATAAAAGAATAAAAAAAGAATGGAAAAAAATAAGAGCATATTCATATTAGCAATGATTTCAGACTGGGCCAGAGGCCAAGCATTAAAGCAATATGGTACTAAGAGTGAAATACAGATTTGGGACTCCAGCGTGGTTTCTTACTTCTTGGGCAGATCAAGAGCTGCAGCCTTAGTCACAGGGGCCTGTTTAAATTTACACAGGACCTTTGAAGACTTGGTGACTAGATGGGGAAAAAGTCACTAAACACAAAAAAAATGGTGAAGGCAGGAGCTCAAGGACAACAAGCAGGGAAAAGCTTGATCCTTCCCTTATACCTGAGGTTAAAATAAAAAAATATAATAATAATAATAATAAAAAAAGAGAAGTAATGAAAGAAGCACGAGCAACTCCACACACTTCAGTGGAGACACTCCCACGTAGCCAGAAGTGGGAGGAGAAGTGGGCTTCCATTTCAGGATATGTGCTCTACCAAGGCTCCCACACAGGTGTGAGTACAGCCAAAGCTGCTCTGGAGACACAAAGGGCAGCTTTAGACAGAAAGCAGCTAAGCACAGAAACTGTTAACCACGCTGGCTTCCGACTTAACATTTCACTTCCCAAAGTTTCTTGTTGGACACTCTCTGCTTAAATACACTCATGTGTGCTGAATGCATCAGATCCAGTTCTGAGCTCTCCAGACTCGTTCGGAGTTTCAAACAAGCACCTCTCTAGTCTGTCCTGCAATCCAACCTATCAACCTTTAAACCAGCTTAAAATAACTTTCACAAGGTGCAGGTTCAGTCCCCAAACTAAAGCTGCTCTTGGAATTTCTCATGGTCTTATCCAGCGCTGCATTAAGTTCCATCAGAGAGAGTAACTGGACCCATCCACTATCAGTAAAACAGAATGCTTTCTCAAATGGATTTGTCACCACACAAGAAAGGGCTCACCTTCACTAGGCCAGAGCTGCTTCTGAGTTGTTCTAACCCAAACATAACCCTGTTGTAAATAATGCAATTATTCTGGAAGGACATCAGTGAACAAAACAAAACATAACTCAATACTAATAAACTTAAGGCAGTAATAGTCCTTGTGTTACAAAGCTGTGGCTTCAAGAGCTAATAAAACAAAATAGTGGTTTCCAAATCAGTTCTCTACTTACTTCTATAGCATAATGCAGGGATGAGGAGGCTGGATGCAATGAAAGATTCTCCAGTGGCTTAATATAGGGTTTCTCCCATCCTGAAGCCAAGGACCATTCAATTGTCAGCATATTATCAGTGAACACAGTTCCAAATACCAAACCACTGGGGTCTGGTTTTTCCTTGAAAGTTGTAGCTGGCGTGATAATCAAGTCGGAAGCCTGAAGGAACATGGGGACAAAAATGAAGCGTATCAAAATAATTAAGTCAGACTGATTTAAAAACGATTCTGCATCAGTGAACATGGACAAACTTTGATATTTTCTCTGTAGGGACATTTAATGACATAATGGTTACAGGCAGATAACCTCAAAGTAGCTGGTAAAGTATTCACACTGTGCACACACACATATACACAGTGCTGTTATACAAGAAGCAGCATATTTTGAAACCCTGCTAAGTTGGGGAAGCAGTACAAGGTGCGAAACCAGAAAGCAGATGAAAATCTCTTGGACACTTAGGTTAACACATCTGTACAAGTTCCAGAAACACCCCGTTGCTGTATCTCAGAACATAAGCTGATCACCAGAAATTAATCCCTCTCACAACTAAGTGGATGTTATGCCAACTTTCCATTAATACATAAAACCAACGTGAGATCAGGGCCAGCAGTCAGCAGATTACCTGTGTCACAGCTTGTTCATTCCCATTCTTACTTTCCTAGAAAGATCCCATTAAGTAAAAAAAGGCTAAATGTTTCCCTGCATGAGGGATTGTAGCTGCAGAGATGTACCCACGGGGCTTTGTGCTGGTTTTATCTGGGATAGAGTTAATTTTCTTTATGGTGCCTTCTATGGTGTGAATCATCCTAAAGAACAGCAGGCAAGGAAGGAAAGCAGGATCCTCTTTTATACACAGGTATGGGCTAAACAACTAGAGAGGGCTACAGAGTGGGCAGATTTGATCCACCCTCTCCACTCTCTTTCTAGGCCATCTGAGCATTTAAACTGTGCTGGTCAGAGGCAAGGGAGAATTCAAAGAATCACAATCAGAGCTCCGTTTTCTGTCCTAACATGACTCAGAAAGCACTGACCCTTATTACAGACCCCCAAGTGAAAGTTTGCTCTTCCATGTTGGGTGCATATAGAATAGACTGGAACATAAGTAATTCAGACTGCTGTTAAAATGATTTGCAAATGCACTAAAAAGGCAGTTCTGCAAGACATATCACTGACGTGGCCTTCTCAAACCCAGCACATGTTTTGCAAAATGAGTCAAAACCAGTCCCAAGCTTCTGAAAAAGAACACATGCACTCCTGCCTCTGTAAACAACCTAACTTTCAAGATGTCTTTAATGCACAAAAGTCTGTTTTTTATTGATTGGTTGTTTTGGTTTAGGTTTGGTTTTGTTTTTTTTTTTTCCTTTGCTTAATGGCTTAGATGTGAAATTAACTTAAAGCAGGAGCACACGAATAGCTAAAAGCCTGTTTCAAACTCTCTCCAATTATAGGGCTTGTCTAGATATTACAGTGCATTAGCCTTTTTGAACTAATACATAATCTGATAAAACAACAATTACTCTTCTTAACTCTTCTCTTTATTCTTCTGACAGTAAATGCTCCAATGGGAAAAGCACTACTTATTGGTGTCCTGAAAATAAAAATTAATTTTACCTGGCAACCTCTTATCACATGCTCTAGAAAAAAAAGACATCACAGAAGAACATGGATCAAAATAAAAGCCACAGAAGAGTGTTTGCCATTATCCACAATGCAAGACTCAGCTCAGGAAAAAGCTCATGCAGGAGCAAGATGTCAGTGGGGCTTTCTCTGCACACAATCACAGCTTCTTCCAGTGGTGTCAACAGCTCTCCCTGGAGTCCAGGCTTCCTCCTCGCCTCAGTTCACTTTCACTGGGATAATTATCTTTACAATAAGCTGGTCTGGGGGCCATAATTATCATATGGAGTCTCATGCCCTAGAGCTCCCATCAGTGTGCTGACTCCTGTTTTTATGCCTCAGTTTGCCACTTCCTCAGTGGTGGAGGCACAACTAGTTGAAAGGCAGCACTTCAAAATCGTTTGCTAAGCTTGTTGGGGCTAACAATTAGCTTTTATTTGAGGATGAGGAAGGATTTTAACCTGGCTGTTCTTACAGACCCACAAGCACACGTGGAGGGAGCAGCAAGCTGCAGCCACAAGCAACGAAACATGTTCACTTGGGAGCATTTGGGCTCCAGTTTTGCCACCAAAGATACTTCTCCAGATTTGGAGATGTGGAGTTCAAGAGGCCAGCCAAGAACTCACTGCTGCAAGTGACTGCTCAGAGCAGTGGCCCACACTACTTAGTTCTCAGCCCCAAGGACTGGGGACTTTCTGCAGTCACAAGCAGAAATCACTCACTGGATTTCAGGTTGAGTCACTTGAAGGCAGAAAGTGTAGAGAAGTAGGTATGATGCTTGTTCAGAAAAGAAGCAAATCATTTCCAGAACACAGAGCTTCCTGGAGCTGCACACCCTGAACAAGGAGACCAACTACTGTTTCTTACCTCCTTTATCATTTAGGGAAACCTGCTTTTTTCAACCATCGTGCCAACACCTGATTCAACCACGTCAGGTACAGCACTTCATCCATAACAATTCCTTCAAACAACAGCAGGAACACTCTGTATCAGACCTCAAATATAGGTTAAACTGCTCAGACCAGTAGGGCAACTATCATTCAACAGGCAAAAAGGCAGTTTTTCTCTCATCCTTATAATCCTGTTAAGCTCTCAGAAGCTGCATTTAAGATTTTTTTTGACATTACTTTCTTAAGGCTCTTTCCCCTTACCCATTATAATGTCTTTTTTCTCCTTCTTTTTACCAAGCAGTGCAAGTTAACAGTGTACAAAAGCACCTAAAGCTTTCAAAATCACAATGCTTTTCACGTCAAGACACCATCAAGAGCTGCAATGCATTTAATGTTTTTTTTTTCCATGGAGGGTGATGCGCTGGGAGGAGAGGTTGGAGGATCATCCTTGGAGTACTCTGTCCCACAGCGTGGTCTGCACAAAGTATTGCCACCACCCTCAACCTCTGCTAGTTCCCTGAGTAATAAGGCTCCCAACACAACACTTTGCCTGGCTCACAGAGTCTTTTGGCTTCACTTGGCCAAGCAGTACCAGCAGGAGGGAAACCAAACTCTCAAAAGAACCTGCACAATGGGAGCAGAGCAAGGCCAGATGACTAATACCAGGGGTACTGATTAAGCATCAGTGCCTATTACATTAATATCACTCATTAAAAGATTACCACAATGCTCCCCTGGTATTACCTATGACCTTTATAAACAGCAATTTATTTCTTTCCTTTGCCAACATTCCCCCAGCCCTGAAAGCATCATGTTGAGGATGCATTAGGGATTGGCATTAGCACCCATCCAGATCTCCGCTGTTTGTACTGCCAACACACAGGGGAAGTTTCAGCTGGTTTATGTTTTTCTTGCTTTGTTTACCAACATGTTCTCAAGCACCTTCTGGCGCTGCTGCCTAATAAAAACCATTGAACTGGAAGGAAAACCAGTAAAAGCAGAACAAAAAGGGTAAGGGAGGTAAAAAAGAAGCGGATGGGACACATGATCTATTGAGTACAGCTATTTGGCCTCTCTCGCCTAAAGCAGAATGACAAAGACATAGTTCCAGGCCTGCAAACTCTCCAGGTTGCAGCAGAACAGCACATACAAGATGTATGTGCCTATGGCCCAGCCAAAGACGCTCTGGTAAGGAATAGGAAGAATCAGATTGCCTTGCCTGTATAGGGAGTGGTGGGAAGCCAGTTGGATAATGTTGATTTTCAAGGCTTTCATAGTACACCTACAAACAGCCGGTGGCTCACACAGACACACTTTCTTTGAAAAGCCCCTCATCTGAAAAGTGCCTGCTGACTCCAATGCAGCATCTTCCAGGGCGAAGCTTTACCCAGCCCAAGTAAAGAAGACATAATGTGACCTCTGGAAACTCAAATTCATCATTTGATCAAAACAGATCTTTTCAATTATGAGCTGGGTCAAATTAAAAGTGACGTGCTGGCCAGTGTCAATTCTAAGCAAAGCTGCAACAAGACATCCTGGTGCCTCTAGCCAAGTTGTCAGCTTAAGGCTTGTTCTACCCAGCCTTTGCAATACCCTTAAGTGGATCTGGAGCTGAGAGCAGCCTCTGGCCAGAGCTGTGACTGTCATTACTCCATTCCTACCTTTCTTACCCCAGACAAACATCTCAAGTAGATACAGAAGGCAAGCACATATTTTGTCCTACTCTTTTCACCAAGTTTTGTCAATGCCTTCCCAAATGACCCTTGGCTGTAGCTATTTTCACTGCACTGAAAATACTAGACCATAAGCAGTAGGCTAGGCAGCTCTAACAGGTGGTAACTCATTTGACATACCTAAATTTTTCTAAACACTGTGCTGGGTCAGGCATTTCTCTCACTTACTTGAGTAAAAGCAGACCTGGCAGCCTCAGCTGTAAAACAGCTTACAGGTTACCTCACTATAGCAGCAAGTTTCAGCAGAGATCCTCAACACATTAACATCCACTCAGTGAGACTGAATGTAACCTGTTCTGAAGCAACCTCCCTGACTTCCAGTCAAGGTGATTCATTCAAGATCATGAAGCAACCGCAGTAATTATTTTTTATTACTTATGCTGAGTTTGTAAGCGTATCCTAGGAGATATCAGGGCCTTCTGATGCAATAACAAACATGGAAGCGTGGACAAATTCAAGTAACTCATTTTGCCCTTGCACTTGTGAATGGCAAAATGTGGTTGCAGCAGTGGAGCCAATTTGGAGAGGGAGAAAGATTACAAAGAGCATGGGGAATTACTGTGAAGGGAAAAGGTGACAGGGCATAGCTGGGAGGAGCTGGAGGGATTGAGGCTGGGACTGGACAGAATGGTTTTGAGGAGGGCTCCAGGGATCAAGATCCTGCCTTTCAGTCCTTATGGCTGTGGCACCCTCATTATTGCTTCTGGGCCCTCCCCAGCACACACATCTCTATCCAAGGAAGCCATTCTTTCTGATGGAGCAGCTACTTTTGCCCCACAGCACCTTCTACCTGGCCTCCTCCTAAATGACAGGCTGAGGAGAAAAGGTCTGCACTGCCAAGGAGAACCAGTGATGGGGAACTTTGCTCCAGACCCTTCCTCAGCTCTGTTGCTCTTCTCCGGACACGCTCCAGCACCTC